CATAAGAAATTTTCTACGAAAAAGATAATTGAACATTTACAAAGAATGGTCACAGAAACACTTGTTCACACTTTTTGTGACATTGCTTGAAATTTCCTCCTGAGGCCGTTGTAACAGTAAAAATAACTTTAATGTAAAAATGATGAATTATCATTGCGAAACTTTTGCAGCTTATTTAAAATGAATGTAAGTTAGACAGAATAAAGTGACTTTCTTCGATATAAAATCACAATAGAAGAATAAGGGCTGATAAGAGGGAGAAGAGGCTGTTGTTACGTAATTATTTAGACAGATTTTATAATCGCGTTATCTCTACGATCGTTATCGAAATAATCATTTATATTTCGAGATGTTGTGCATATATAAAACGGCGCAATTAATATCGCTTGTCAGTCAGCCGATTTTTGCTGTAAACGACATCTTGGTAATATCGTTAAATAATCATGAGGATCACCATCGCATTGTCCTTTTTGGCTGTACTTTATACCGTAAGTTTCTTGTTGAGAAATAATTTTCAATAGAAAAAGAGAAATGTTTGAACGGAATAGATGCATCACAGTTTTGAATTTTATTTATGCATTCGATAATTCGAAAACATATAGTAAGATTTATTAAAATAAAACATTATTAAACAAGAGAAATGGCCAATGTAGCATGAATATATAGTCGCAAACGAAATGCGATGCACTTATTATTTTTTACCCCTTATCCTCACAACTTTAGGTCGAGGCTTTTCCAGCAGACTCGGCTGATTTGGAAAGTTTGAGGCTTCGAGGGAGGGAACTAAAATGGAATATAGAGACTTCTATACGTCAACTTGAACTACTTCGTACCCAGACCGAGGAAGATACTCTTCAAAAAATTACCACAAAGTGGAGTGAAGAACAAGACAGTCATAGAGAATATAAAACTTTATTACTTTCTGGGATACGCGTAAGTATAAATAATTAATGTATAAATATTGTAATTAAAAATGATCTGTAAGCACAAGATGCTGTATAATTTTCTCCATTTATTCACAAATCTGTACAAATTGTCACTAAATCTTCAAAATATAATTCGTACATTATCTAAGCATTTATATATTAAATTATATTTTTTAATTAAGGTTACACAATTGTTTTATTAGTCACATTAATCTGTGTGAATCTTAAACGATTATATATAAAAGATTAAAGATACACGTAAAATTCCGTGAATGATAATCATTTGACTTTGACATTTGATAAAATATTATAAATCCCTAACATATCGTAATTCATTTGTGTGTTATACCAAGAATTTATTTATTTTTAGGCTGAAGTAAATATCGCTAAAACGGCGGGCAAAGACGTGACTTCATGTCTCACCGAGGCCACTCAAGGTATCGAAAGTAATGAACAGATAGCATATACGGATGCTAATGAATGCGTAAATTCCGCTGAAATTTCCATCCATAACAATCTTGGTTTTATCGATAATCTCATTTCAGTAAGTTTTGTCGCGATAATTATTAGGTGTTGGAATTAATTCGTAGCGTTTTACAAGTGATGGGAAGTACTTTCATTAATGTATTTTTTAATGCTCATGTGAAATAAATAACATTCTTTCATTAAAAAACGCTACGAATTAATTCCAACACCTAATATATATTATAGATCGCGATCAATTTATCTTAATTAGAAAATTAATGAAATTGTAGCAAAATTCGAATCATTAATTTTTCCCCAGACCGCAGACTCATTGTCGTTGCAGACGGATAGCATCTTTTTGAATTGTCACGACAGCGACCGTTACAGAATGCAAAGCTGCATTATAAATGAAATGACGAAAGCAGAAAACTCCCTGAAGACCTTGGAGAGCGACAGCATTACTGCAGAGATGACCGTTACACCCGTGTCCAAGAATGTCGTTACGCAAGCCAGCAACTGTATCAAACAGGCTTATTCTCTTACGTATACGGAGGGGGCGGCGATTAGAATGAGAGTTACTCAATGTATTGAAACAATCACCACGCCAACTACGACGATAGCTACGACAACTACGACGACAGCTACGCCAACACAGTCTACCCCAGAAGATTCATTTTAAATCTATTAAGTTTGGTTTTCCATTTGTTTGTTGTTGAAAGTAATTTTTAAAAAGAATCAAGATTACCAGATTTTCGAGAGAAAAGAACATTACGATGTTAGAGTGTATAACTCCACATATGTAATATATATGAATGAAATAAAAATATCATCAAAAGAAAATTACTTAGTCACGCAATTCCTTATATGCTTGTAATTGATCTTTTCGAATCGTTAGGATGTCGAACAGACGTTAAGATTCCAATTATAATATGTAATTAAATGCGATAAACTGCATCTTATCTTCATACAAAAGAATTTTAACACGCGTTATCAGTTTTACGAAATCTGATTATTTAATTTATTATTCGATTTACGTCAAAATAATACTAAGTAGCACTAATTCTCTCACGTTGACTCGGCAATCCTTTATTAAAATGTTATCTTCAGAATGAAAGAAGAAACATTATGTAATATTCAAGTAAACTCTATAATTAGACTGAAAAGCATGAATAACAAAGATATCTTCATATTTTTTTACTTGATATCTTCAAGAGATCTTCAAGATCAGACATTCTTCGACCCACCTCTCAAAGTTTGTCCAAATGTTTTTTTTTATCATACCTTATATATATATATAAAAAGGCGCAATTAATGTAATACTTATCAGTTATTCGAATTCGCATATCAACAGAGTCACTCCCAAGTGATACCAATAAGCAAGCATGAGAATCGCTATAACATTGTGCTTTTCGGCTATATTTTGTATCATAAGTACGGTAAGTTCTTATCTTTTCTTTACGAGAAAAGATTGTGAAGAAGATAGCCAAAATGAAAGTTTGTACATAATAGATAACCGTACATAATAGATATATTTTAATTAATATATAATACTATTTTTAATTTGAAATAAATATTTGCTAAAATTTTGAATAATTTTCTTCTTTAATTGATTAAAGTTACGTTTTTATTATCTTATATTTTCATTGACTAAACTTAAGTTAATCTAAATCGGCGAGATTGCAAGAATGTATTACTCAAAGTAACACTGTCTTTAAATGTCAATATGAATGTGAATATAAGTATAGCGTTCATTTTTCGTATTTAGGTTTATGCTGCCATTCCAATAAATTTTGACTATTTGGAAGATGAACAGTTTATAAAAGTAAAAAATGCGAGATTGAATGTGGAGCGTATTGTACGACGAATTGAACGTGTCCAGGCTGATACTAAAGAGGATGCTTTGTTGACAATTACGAAAAGATGGAATCAGCAAACGAATAATTACAGAGATTACGTTAATCTATTGTTCAATTCGATGCGCGTGAGTAATAATTCGAATCAATTTGCAATCGAAATGCTCACTTGCTTATTTTGTTCAATTTGTCCGTAATCATTATTAACTAAAGTTGTTACACATATACCGAATAAATATATTTAGTTTTAATAATATACTGTGAAAATATTATGTTGCAAAATATTGTATTGTGTCACTAAAAATGAGCCAGTAAGTAATCAATAGTAATATGACATTAATATTATAATTTTACACTCAACAATATTTAAATATAATGTAACATATATAACAATAATTGTACGTAACAGTAATTATTGAATTATTATTGTGAAATTATTATTATACATTGATGTTATGTTACTGTTAATAATGCTTACTTGGGATATAGTGTTAGAGTCAATCGTTTTTTTAAAACAGACTAACGATATTGCGCGATATCTTCATTTTCATAATTCAAAATAGAAATTTGTCACAAAATTTGCAAATCGAGTGATTATTACAAGTCATTAACTTTGCATTCTAGAGGGAAGTAAATAACGCTAAAGTTAGAGGTGTAGATGTACAATATTGTTACGATACTAATTTCTGGGCCATAAACGAGCATGGCGACATAGCGTATCAATCTGCTACAAAATGTCAAGAATCTGCTGAAAAGTCTATTGAAAACAGCCTTGGATTTCTCGATAGCCTCAAGTCGGTAGGTTCTCATTGTTATTATTTTATATTATCAAATCATCATTTTTTTTTGTTGCGACCTGAATGTAATTACTATGGATTGAATTTAATCGTGTCAATTTTCTCGACAGCTTGGATACGACCTGATAAAAGAATTGAATGATGTCTTCCTGAACTGCTATGATGACGATACTACTAAAATGCATAATTGCTTCCTAAGCGAGTTCGGAAAAATCAATAACTCTGTAAAGGAGTTTGAGCAGAACGCCAAATACATCGAGTATAACGCATTGCCAGCGTCCAACTACGTCGTTCTGCAGGCAACTCAATGCCTGAGCAACGCTTACATGTTAGCGCGTTTCGAAAGTCAGGGCGCAATGATGTCTAATTCTAGATGCATTCGAAACGCCGTGAATAAAAACTGAAGAGTTTAATCGCTTAAAACAGTCTCTTTGTCGATTACAATTTACATTCAAAATTATACTTAAGAGAAAACAATGTATCTTGAGAAATCAATATAATCAATTTGACAAAGATATGCTCTGTGTACGATTATGCGTGTATCGAAGCAATGCTTTGGATTATATATTGTATTAATATATTGTATGCTTTATACGATATATTTTTAAAGATATTTTTTATGTACGCGTATAATGTACTTAAGAGAAATAAAAATAATTAAAAAATTATTAATAAATGTTATTTATCGATACTTATTTATCGATACTTTTCCTTATTCGTAATTGATATTTCAATAAATTCTTAAAATTGTTTAGAATACTTCGTGTCTTATCGTTATGTGGATTATATACTTCGTTTTATCTCTCGGATAAAATCTAGTAACTTGTCGAAATAAAAGTAGTATTATAATATTCCATTAAGATAATGATACTCCATTAAAATCCCATGTTTTATTAAGACGTCAAAATATATAAAAGAGTAAAATTAACATCAATTGTCAGTTAGTTTACCTCTGACAATTGAATAATTCTCGAGTGAAATTAACAAACAAGAATGAGAAGTGCCATAGCATTATGCTTTTTAGCTGTACTTTGCTGTACCGTAAGTTTATTTTCTCCTTTGAAAAATATAATTTGTAATAAATATTTATTATTATCCTGCAGAATATTAATTTAAAGTTTAAGATTACATTAACATTAAGATTATGTTGTAAAAAGAAGGTTGTTAAAAATCAATGTTTACCAAAGAGAAAAATTAATTTTATTATAAATTTAGATATAAATTTTCTTTATATCATCTTTTATCGATATAATAAGTCATTTTAATTAAATTTACATGTATTAATTGAATAATACAAAAAATATGTTTTTTCGAAACAAAGCATTTCTTAATATTAATGTTATTTTTTATCTTAGACCGATGCAACTATTTTGGACATTTTATTCCGTCAAGTGCAGAACACGAAAATAGAAGTGGAAAATACCATACAACAACTCAAACATATCCGTGAAAACACTCAGAAAGACGTAGAACTGACAGTCGAGAAATGGTTGCAATTATCGGAAAAGTACAATAATTCCGCCAAATCAATACTCAATATGATACGAGTAAGTAGTTATTCGATTGGTTTTATAATCAGCTGTATGAGTTTGACAGATTTTCAAAAATATATAAGGTATATGTATGTAGATATCTATACCAAAATATAAATTTTTTTATATATATTGCAGTGTATTGAAAACATTAGAAACTATTAATTAGTTTTTCAAATCAGAAGCACGCTTAAATTAAAAGCTATACGAATCTAAACAATTAAACAACATTTCGAATCTATCAATCACAATATATATTTATCAGTTTTCGCGACACTCTTGATAAGATGGCAAAACACAACATTTGATAAAATGATATAAATAAAAATGTAATACAGCTTTTTTTTAACTTAATTGTTGTTGCCTTTTTTATCGTTAGAAAGAGGTGGAAGATGCCAAGGCGAGAGGTAGGAATGCTGAACAATGCTATAATGTCGCTCTTATTACTCTTAAGATTAATTACAACACAACATATATCGATGCCCAACAATGCCGAAAAAACGCCATGTGTTCTATCAACAATAATCTTGGTTTCAACGATCAGCTTATCAAGGTAAATTCTCACAATCGCACATATCACATATACTTTCCATTGAGTGATTAATCATTAAACTCGTGTTGATTTTTTTTACAGACCGGACACGAGCTAATAGATGAATTGGACAACATCTTTTCGGACTGCTACAAAAAATATTCGCGACTTATCGACATTATAAAATTGCATAGTTGTATCAGAGATCAGCATAGAATAAGTAAGATTGGCGTAAACAATTTAAAGAAGGATACCAGTTCTGCTAGGTCTATCGCTAAAAATATCAATCAACAGACTACTAATTGTCTGAATAAAGCTTTCTCGATCGCGCGCTTAAAAGTCGTTAGATCAACTGCTACTAGATGCCTCAATAATGTGTAGAAGGAACATTTATTTAATTATATTGCATTGATACACAATTTTTATTGCCATAAAGAAATTAATCATGCAAGAAAAATCGTCAAGGCATTATTGATTTGATTAAAAACCAATTTCGTAGTTATGTTTCGGTAACAGATTAGTTCAATAGATTTAGATAAGTTAATGTAAGTAAAATTCACGATATCATATATGTTTCGAGATTTTATAATTATCTTTGAAGGACAGTTTTCTCTCTCTCTCTTTTTTTTTAAATAGAAGAAATAGAAGAAGAATATGAATAAAAATAATTGTAACACATTACAAGAATTACTTGTTAGTATAATTATGCGTTTCCGAAAAAAAACTTTTTGTAAAAAATACATTTTGCAAAACATTACGTCATAAATTTTTTATAAAAAGATATATAATTATAAGAATATAATAAGAAGAATATTTTAGACCGTACATGTGAGTACGTACATGTAATCTGAAACATCTGTCTGACGTACGGCTTAAAATTCACATCTGGAATGTCATAATGGTAAAATATAACTGCATCTGTTTAATCTAAGAAATCATAAATCATCGATATTTCGTGAATGTCTCAACCTCATTTCTAATAAAAATAAATGAGACAAAATCAAAAAGTTCTTTGATATAAAATTTCGATAAAAGGATAATTGGATCGATAAAATTAGACGTAATTATATTGATACAAAAGTTTTTATAGCGCTGCTATCAATTATTTTGATAACATCATACAAAAAATTGTTTCTGTATTTATAAATTGTTTCATAGTTTAAAAAATATGTTTTCTTTTATCTTTATATTTAAAGAATGTATAACATATTATCAATCTTTAATTAATTATTAAAGAGAACAATAAAAATCGATATATAATGTTAGAATGTCAGAAACGTACGTACATGTCAGCAATTATGTAAAAAAAAACCATGCTTAGTAAAAAACCACTTTTTACCTCTTGCCTTTTGTCAGCACATTAGTTGATAAGAAATATTGAAAATTATAAAATATTTTTTTGAAATATTTTCTTCGATATATTACGATATAATTACGGCACATTAAATGACTATGGTATCGCTAGACAGGAAAGTTCTCACAAAATCGATGAAATTGTTTCATTCGATATACGCGACGAAATATTAATTAGATTATATCTTTTCTTCATGTAATATAAAATCAAGTTATTAAATTTCTTAGATCTTTTACGCATATACACAACTCGATCATTTACATATCTTACAATTATGATATTTCAGTTGTATTGCAATAGGCGATTATTAGTTTGTAATAACTTTATTATACAAGGTGTGTGTTTTCTCCAACTTGATCATTTAAAATATTGGGTCATCTAAAAACCGCGGATACTTTTTAGATGACCCAATATCTCCATTGAGATCTCTTTTGATACGAAAAAACACCACAGAGGATTTTGTTTATTGATTCGAAGGGGCAATGATATGAGCAATTCAATTATGATAAGTAAAAAATTTTCTCAATATTATATTTTTTGTATTTTCAAGGTGTACGGACGATTTTTCGACAGTAAAAACGTTAATGAAAAACGTTAACATTATTTTGTCGAATCCATCTCAATTACCTATGGAATTTTACTCATGTGCCAGTCAGGAAATGGAAGTAATTCGTTATGTGTAACGAAGTTACAGTTACAAGTACTTACTTTTTTGATAATTTTACTGATAACTGCGTTACTTTTTTCCTTTGGTAACTGTAACGGTAACGAAGTTACATTTTTATGGTAACGGTAACGGAATTTTACAGTTATTTTTATCGTTATTTTGCACGATTGAATACGATACAATTGAACAAGCCACTTACAGCGTTTGAGACTAGAAGGCCCTCTGCGGTGATTGGTCGTCGATTTTAGAAAAGTAATGGAAAAATAACGAAAAGTTACTTTCTCAAGTAACGAGTTACTTTTAAAAATCGGTAACATGTTACTTTTTTTACTCGGTAACGAATAACTGTAATTTGTTACTTTTTAAAAAGTAACTTTCCATTCCTTGCATGCAGTATATAGCAGCGAATTTAGCAATATAATTAGAGAGAAACCTGAGAGAGGTCATGCCGGTCTTTTTTCTGTTACCGTCGAAATCGCCCATACACTACTGCCAGCACATCCATTTTCAGTTTCGGAACTACGTGACTACATACATTTTCTGACACTGTCGATAAAATTGTTAAAAAATATTTAAATATTTAATGGAAAAATATGTTCCAATATCTTAAAGTTGATATTCAAACTTTATTTTTTTTTGTAATTTTGTAGTTTTGAATATTAACTGTAAGATATTGAAACATATTTTTCCTTTAAATATTTTTGTTTACATTTTTGTATGAAAGAATACATTTTTCTCATTTTGTTAACTATATTTAGTTATAACAATTTATATATAATTTGTTATAAATATACAACTTTACAAATACTTTCTAAAGATGTCAAATACGTAAAAATTGTTTAATAATTTTTATATATTTGTAAAAGCAACGAAAATTAAAGTATATATTTTAAATAAAAAAATTAAAAGAGTTATAGAATTGTTAAATTTTATATAATAAATTTTATATATATTTTTTATATATAAATTTTTTATTATAGTATAATTTTTTATTACAGTATAAATGTTCTTTAAAATTCCATTGTTATTAGGTTCGGCTTATCTCGAACAATTGGTACCCGAGAATGGGACCTCTATAGCTCGTTTTTGCTAAATTATACCTTAAATTGACAATATATATTTAGAAAAGATTGAATTTATTAAAAGTCTCTATAATTGCTAATAATTATAGAGACTTATACTAGTAATTATATTTTGTAAATACGGGCTGAAAATTTGCATAAAGATACATAACTTTGTAATTTTATAAGATAAAATTCACAAAATTAACTTGTTTGAATTTTCAGTTTCATTTATTAAAGTTCAACTACTTTTATTTACAAATGTAGGAGATGCGAAATAAAAATTTTTCATTCAAGGACCCATTAAACTATCTCTCCTATGGATGGATCGGCACGCTTTTATCCTGAAGATTTAGTACAGAAATGAACTACATCTATTTTCGAAGATACGATTTTATCGATAGTGTCAAAAAATGTATGTAATCACGTAATTTCTAAAACTGGAAATGTATGTACGAGCGATTTCGACGGTAACAGGAAAAAGACCGCCATAGCTTTTCTCAGGTTTCTCTCTGGCAATACACATCCATAACATCACATCCATAATTGAATTTGTAATCTGCTTTACCGACCATCCAAGCCATCTCCGTCAAGTAGCGTGCTCTGCATCGCATTAAACAAATGCAACACGGTAATGACCGAATTTCAGCGGATTCAACCGAAGCGAGCAAGTCTTCGATCTTTGCTCCTCGCTAGCACTCATAACGCAATTCACACGTTCAATCAGCTTCATCGCAGTCAGCGCAGCTGCGAACGGGTCGATCGAGTGACAGGAAGACGAATAATATTTTATATCATACAGCGTCTCGTGCTCGTGCGATTACTCGTGCCCGTGATCGGTAAAACCGATCGATAAGCAGGGCTGCTCGGTCGGTTTAGTCGCGCCGCGCCGCCGGTTTGCAGAATCGCAGCTCGCATTCTCGCAGCTACGTAAACGTGTGCTACGTCATAGTGTGTACAACTACACACGTGCATTTGTGCGCGCGACCGCTGACGTTGACAGCTCGTTGCTGCTGGTTGCTGCTTTCACACGTGCATACTCACGCTCGCGCGCGCACACGATTGCCGTTCGTACGTCATAAGAACCGAGAGCACGCTGTCGAACGGCTCAGATTGTGTTTCGGAGCAGTGCGTATCGCACGTATATCGCGAATATATCTAGCAAGAGTGACAGTCCGCTCCAACTTCTCTATCAATTTTTTACCCTCTGTTTCTCCGTTTTTTCCGTCTGCCTTCTGCTCGTGTCTCTACATACGTGACGAACGAGCAACCTTGATAACATGTGCGGTAAGTACGTACAGTTAGCGAATTTTAAGCACCGTCGTTGTCGCCGTAGCTGTCGCTTTCTCCCGGCCGTGTCGTGCCGTTCCGTGTCGTGCCGTACCGGCTTGACGCAGTCGATGTGTAGTAAATTCTATTTATTTATTCACGCGTGTAACGTTATGCACTCGTGGGTTTTGTCGGATCACCCGCAAGTGCCGTCATCGTGATAATTTGATTATCGTATTCGGAAACGACGATGTGAAATGCGGCGGGATTACGCCCAGCTGCTGCGTGGAACATATCGAGACATTGGTTTCTATATATCGTGCCGGTATGCAATCGTTGAATTATTCATTGACATAACGAGATACCAACAAATGGATATTCTTTTTATACATGAAAAAGAATGATTTATCTTTCCATATTTTTTGTGTCAAAAATAAATGTAAAAATTACACGCAGAAGAGTTAAATAGTCATTAACGATTATTGTTTTTTTTCTTTTTTCCTTATGAAATGCTGTTGTTTTTAGCACATTATTATTCTCCGAGAGAAAACGATAAATCTTACTTATCACTTAATGTAAAACATATTTTTAATTTTATCATCACTTATTGTTAGTATCGTAAGTGAATATTTTGTGAAGAACAATATGGATATTTTAATAATGAACTGTACTGAATATTTTAATATTTTAATTATTATTTATTTTGTATTTCAATTATTCAATTTTATCTCTACTATACATGCATATACATGCATACATTTATATATGTATATATTTGCATATATATTCCTTTCTAATTACTTATGTTTTATTACCAAGATTAATAAAACTCTGAATATTTAAGTATACAGTGTACATATTATTTGGAATAAATTTTGTTAATCGTTTCTATTTGAGTTTGAATATATTGGTTCTCTAATTAGTAATTATCAGATAGTGATAGATGAATATGTAATATTTGCGATATAGTTATTCTTCATTTTTATGCGCTAATTTGAGAAATGTTCGTCACCTTTTTTTTTGCAAAACAATAAAAGGATGTATTATAATACGTTCGATATATATAAATATCGTGCAAACACGTACACGTACACGTATCATTGTAAGAAA